TTAACGGCTGACACACACAGAACAACGTACCAAATAACGTAACAAATAACGTAAACAACGTAACAAATACATTTGAATGGTGTGACAATGTCCTATTTGATTGGATTAAAATGTACATATTCTTCCTGTTATGTCTGCCTGCTTTATTTTACCTAATGCAAAGTGACCTGCTCCATCGAAATCAGTCGCATTGACCCGAAGACACATTTTGAGTTGTATACACTGTACTCCTGTAGAGGAGATTCCTAGCTTTCTAATGATATCAGGATTGTTGTTGTACTCAAAATATTAAGCAAAATATGTCACATTATAATGACCGAGTCATCATTTTGAGAAAAAGGCCATTAAAGTTTCGTCTTCTCTGGAATCCATCGATCTGATTGATTATTAGCAGAGTAAATGATCAAAGTAGTAACGCAGGGAAAATATTTTCGTTTGGATTGCTGGTCTGGGGGGAGCTCGCGCGTGTGTGTGTGTGTGTGTGTGTGTGTGTGTGTGTGTGTGTGTGTGTGTGTGTGTGTGTGTGTGTGTGTGTGTGTGTGTGTGTGTGTGTGTGTGTGTGTGTGTGTGTGTGTGTGTGTGTGTGTGTGTGTGTGTGTGTGTGTCTATACGTGTATTTTTGCATTTGTGTGTATTGTGTTTGTTTCTCGGGATAACACTCACGAGAAACACCGGCTGTTGTTATGTCGCTGTGACGTCAAGTTACTGCGTTCTCCGCTTGAAAGACTACGGAGGGATAGGGTCTGCAAAATTAGTTTATTTTGAGGATGGGCCGGATGCTCTGACCGGTCCACTTCCTGCCCGGCGCCTCTGCAACGCTTTGCGTTGCGTTGAAAAATAGACTTAAATCCTATTTTGAGCGGAGCCCAGCGCCGAGACGCTTCTGGGTAGGGTTGGGTACCGAGAACCGGTTCCGAATGTGAATTTCGGTTCCGCTTTTCGATGCGTGAGGAAATGTTTCTCGCCACTCTCCGTAGCCTACTGTATGACTGCGGCGGGGCGGGAAATGTAGCGTTGTACCCATAGATATATATAAACACGTGTTTATATATATCTATGGTTGTACCCAGCGCCATATTATATTATATATTATATTATAGCCTACTATTATATGGCTCTGGTTGTACCTACACTTCCTACAGCATAACCTGAGACCAGGGCCAGCCCGTCGCACTGGCATTATAGATGTTCGCCTAGGGCGCCAGATCTGTGGTGCACCGGTATACGCTGTTGTTATTAGCATCTGGTGCTAGCTGCTCTAACGGAAGAAGAAGATGTTTCTACAATGATGTGGAGGGAGAGTCCTCTCCAGTCAGACTGAGTGGCTGATAACTACAGCTCAGTGAGGTAAGGACTCTTGAGTGTTTAGATAGTTCACTTTAGTCTAAGTTATCTCAGTGGGTCTCAAACGTTTTAATCACAATTCACAAACATTTCTTCCCGGTATGCCTGAGAAGGCAGATATGCTTGTTTTTCTCAACAAGAACTGTTTTTAAATGGGGGGGGGGGGGTTCCTTTAAAAGTTGGACTGTTGCACTGTTGTAGCTTCAGTGGTTCTCAGGTTACAGTTACATAGCAGTGAATATAAACAGACTGATTAATGTGAATATTACTGTAAACTAACCTGTGTAAAAGTTTCTCGAATAAATGTAATTTTTTTGGTGGAAGAAGCATGTATCATTTTTTTACCCTGCCCCTCAAAGAATCGGAATTGAGAACCATTAAGAACCGGAATCGAAAAGTAGAATCGGAATCGGAATCAGAATCGTGGAAATTCAAACGATACCCAACCCTACTTCTGGGACGCTTCTGAGCCGTAACGCGGCGCGTCTGGTGGAATAGCACCCATTGACTAGAGTGGCCGCGATCTATGCGAACTCCGCGAACTCCGTGGCGCAGCCGTAACGCGGCCGTAACATGACGGACCCGGTGGAATCTAGGGGTAACCCCTCCTGTTCGAGAAACATCCAAACTTTTTTAACAGAGATACTTCATTGCTCATTTCAAACTGAAATCTACCACTGGCTCTTCAACATTCTGAACAGACTAATAGAAATGCCCTTTGAACATAACCAGTGGCGGAGCTGGGGGGTGGCTGGGGGTGGATCCTGGCCACCCTATTGGCCACCCCAAACACCCTCACCACGGGGGCCCAAACTATTTTAGAACATTAAGAAAAAAATGTTTAAGTAACCTTTCATCATTCATCAATAATTAACATTAATATAACGTAATATTGATAATGTACTCAATACATTTACAATTAATTTAACTTATTTTCTTCCAAAAGTTAATTATCCAAAGCCTCTGTAAACCCCCTTCTGTACATTTACATGTAATGGTTTGGTCCCGCCTCCGCCTCCAAACAGTACTTTCTAGCAGAGGGTGAGAGCATGTGAGTAGGGATGCTAGTACTTACGTGTGTGCCATGTCTCAACGACTAACAAAGTCAGGCTTTCAAAAAGAAACGAAAGGAGAGAAAGAAAAGAGAAAGGGACTAAAGGGCGACAGTATGTCACCCAGTTTTTCAAGAAAAGGGTGGGTGTGGTCCATGAATGGTGGAAATTAGTCTGTTAGCTAAGCGTAGTCCATTGTAAATAATAATTTGTATGTTTGTTTTTTTTACTAAGCTGACATTAAGTACTGTTAATATATATACAGAAAATGCAGAGGTTTTTAATTTCATTGCTCTTTTAGCTGACATTTAACAAATGTAGGTAGATTTTTAGCAGCTATTCATACTAAATCAGTTGTCCCTGCCCCTGGTGCCAGGACCAACAGATCCATCTTTAGGCTCAGCAGCCCTGAACCCATAATGCTGAACCTGAACCAGCTTTTCTCCCAACTGAAGGAGGTGAGCAGCATTGTGTTGAATGCCATGCCACTTAACATATCTGAAGGGAGACTGGAATACAATATATATATATTAGGGCTGTCAAGTTAACGCGTTAATAATGCGTTAACGCCACTAATTATTTTAACGCGATTAACGCATGTGTATTTTTTTTTCCTCGGCCGCCCCGTAGTTTCAGAGCGCATCGAGTTTAAAATACCATCTACAAGCTGATGCTGACAGCCCTGCTCCTGCCGCCCGCTTGTGGCAGACCACACTTCCACGCTCACCGGCAGGCACCGACTGGCTATTGGGAGGACCGGGAGGGTGTGTGTATGTGTGGCCCGAGCGAGCGAGAGAGAGACCTTACGTGTATTGTTGTTGTTAGCATCTGGTGCTAGCTAGCTGCGCTAACGGATATAAGGAGCTGTTTAAATGAAAACAGAGGAGCGACATTTTGCCACAACTGCGCCGAGCACTTGACTTGATGCAGGAAGCCAGACAGTGGGACATTGTACGAAAAGTCAGCACACTCAGCACGGATAGTGCGCGCAACATGATTGCAGCGTCCAGGCAGCTCCCGTTCGAGCATATGCCTTGAGTTGCACATAGCTCACGCGCGCGCACACACACACACACACACACACACACACCATTTTGTATTGTATTATTGCATGAGAGAGGTTCCAGATTGTAATATATTACAATATAGGAATATTTGTAATGTCCAGAGGTTGTTGTGTATTCCTGAGAATATTTGTCATTGTTCAAATGATAATAAACATTAGCATAAAGCATATGTGTCCACTCATATGTTGATAAGAGTATTAAAAACTTGAAACATATTCCTCTAAGGTACATTTAGAACAGATAAAAAATGTGCGATTAATCGCGATTAACTATGGACAATCATGCGATTAATCGCGATTAAATATTTTAATCGACTGACAGCCCTAATTTATATATATCAAAACAAAAAGCTAACATCTAATTTCAATTATACATTTCAAACACAGTATTTTCCCACATATTTAAGTTATATTTATTTGGATTTATGCATTCATGTTGAGAATGTTCCATTCAAAAATGTTATTATTAAAAAGCCATTTACACCATAAAAAATTACTATTGAGATCTATTGTCAGGAATGTTAGTCTTATATGTATGGCCAGAGGGCAGGACCTATAAACACATGTACTACCCAATAGCATTGTGAGGCTGAACAAAAGGACCTTTTGACTATGTAAATGTAGTTTTAAAAAAAACATTTACTGACTTTTTTGGATAGCTTAAAGTAATGTTGTAAAATTACAACCGGGGGCCTTACAGGGTTATGGGCTATTGTTTATTGTTATTTACTTTAAGATGTTTATTCTTAACCAATAATTTAATTTAAAAACTCTTATTTTAATGATGTGTGTGTGTCTCTGTATTCCTGATGATACACTGAGAGAATGAGCTCATAGTGCTGCTGATCACCATAAGCTAAACAGTCTGTATATTGCATTACATTTGTATAATGTAAGCTTTGTTGTTACTTTGCCTGTGGGAATAAGAAAAAAATAGTTACATATACTGAATATTATTTTATCTATTCCACCACTAGCTTAATCCCAAATAATGTAGAGGTGTGTTGTAGGTGCCTTAAATAACCCCTTATTTTATAGTGAGATGTATTTTTATGTTCATATAATAGTGATTTCAATGCCACCCCACAATGACCACTGGTTCCATCCTGGCCACCCCACTGAAAATGTCCTGGCTCCGCCACTGAACATAATGTCGACCAGGATCAGCCAGGAAGTATATTAAATATCCTAACGGGAGTTTTCCAGAGCGTGTAAGTGTCCGTGCGTTTGTGCACGCGGGCTTTGAGCGATGCACGAACAGGAGATAGGCTACAGCCTGGTCTAAAGCATTTCATACTCATATAATTAGCTGACTTTTTGCACTGAAAAAACGGTTAGCCTACGTTTTAAAGAAAACAGAAAAATCAGAGTAGGCTCAAACATATGATGATATGAAGTTCCGCAGAATATACCAAAGGGATACCGAACCAAACTGGTCTTGAGTTCTGAGGTACCGGTCCCCGCAGACTCCCACGGAAAACAGGCTTCAGTAAAGGAGGGTAATAACGTCTTATTACGGTACAGAGAGACAGACTCACCCCTGTTGGAGCCGAACAGAACCGGGTCGCTCCTCATCGTGAAATCCGTCTCATCTAATCCGGAGCAGGCACGTGCCCAGCGGCTCGCGGCAGCAGTAACTCCACACACGGACTTTAACACGCTTTATGCTTCAGTTCCAACTTCTACGTATTATTTTTTTCTATCGAACCGGCCACTGAAACCTTCCTCTGCTCCTGAAACTGCTCTCTCCTCCTCCCTTCTTTCCTCCTCCCCTCTCTGATTCCACTAATGTCTCTCTACCCCTCGCGCTCTCTCTCCAACAGACTGGCCGTTTCTCAATCGCGAGGATGCTGGCTTGGTAGTCGCTTCCTTCCATATCGCTTCCTTCAGAAACGAAGCAAGTATACTTCCAAGCCACGGCTACAGAAAACGAAGAACAATGGAACAGGCTAACAAGTGTGCCACTCTCTCTAACGGTTTCAACATAAACTGTACCAAAAATAAATACGTCACGATGTCTATCTAATTATGAACTTGCTTTACTTTCACGCAACACATTTTTGGGAATTAACAAACAAAGTAACATATTTACCAACACATGTTCTACGCCACTACACTCATAGGCGGCGCGTGAGGCTAAGGTTTGGGAAGGCTAAATAACTTTGTTTACCTGACGCCCCGGCGTCTATAGAAAAGAGTTCTAGTGTGCAGAGTTTAAATCTATCAAGTCATATTACAGGATAAAGGAAATACAGTTTAAACTGCCATATGCAGTGAAGACGCCGACGTGTCGCACTTATCATTCAGACCATCGATCATATAATATCATAATATAGCCTATCATATATTTCCTTATCTGAGTCAGCTTCTCGAGCCGTATCTGGCCGTGCAACACTCACAGTGTCACATACTGTATGCAGAAGTATTATTTTAAGCAACACATTATGTTGACGAAACACTCAACTCAAATGTAATTAAAGTCAGATCCCCTCGTGTTTTAGATGGGGCAGTGATATCATAAAACTGTTGTACGCTTTCAAACACTCGGTTTATTTATTTTTGAACCAGTTGTTCTATATTCTCCTTGCAGGTGCAACTATGTGGCTTGTATCCTGGATTATATGTTTAAATCATGGATGTTTAAAGCTCATATTTGTCTAATATTAGTTTACTTTTCATTAATGAAGTATGACGCTGCGCTGTCAGTACACTTGTCCCTGTTTTTGATTGGTCAAATGTTGCTAACCCCGCCCCTTTCACGTGAACGCGCTCTCAGCTGGTGAGAGAAACCCTGGCTTGATTTACCGAGTTGATAACCAGCGTCGCAGGACCGCTTAGCGAGATCTCGTTTGTTAGTTTGTTTGTTATTCAAACGTATGTTGAACTGGCTTCGTAGTAGAGGGCACAGGTGGCTGCATGGCAGCGCTAATGTCAAAGACACAGACATTATATTTTACCAGGATGCAGTGACACAAATATTTGGGAAGGCTTAGTACCCGCCGCCCCTGACTACACTTACATTTAAATGTGTGCTGCTGCGTAGGTTCAGCCATTCTCCGCAAGGGTTTTTGAAATTGGTCCGTGCGCAAAGCATTGTGGGGATTTTAAGGACGCGAAGTCTACCCATGTGCAGCCTCGAAATTTCCCCCAAACCAAGGATGCGGCCTCGGTGGAATTCCAAGTATGCTGGAGATTGGAACAATCATTCGGCGGCACTCGATGACGTAGCATCCTTGAAATATTGGCTTGGAAGCCAAAATCCTCGCGATTGAGAGACGGCCACTGCCTGCATGGATACATGCTGCGTTTGAAGACCATCGTACATAACATAGTTCACAGCTTGCTTGGTGGATTTTACCACGGGTCAGCAGACTAGGTTTTAGAATGAATTGATTGTATTAAGTATTTTATAATAACAGAGCATGTTGATGCTGCATTAAATAAATCAGTATATTTCTGTATGAAAAAATATGAAACTAATACTAGTTTAAAACAATGACATTAACATTGCCGGGTTTATTCATTCTTCTTGATATTGAACAAAAAATACATTGTCCAATTAGCTGGATATCCAAATCTATCCTCAGTGCATTTGAAAGCAGCATTTTCCTCCTCTCTGTCTGCATGGAGAGTCTATAACAGCAGTCTTCCATTTGTTTTAAGTTTGTTTCAGTTTTTTTATAAATATACTTCATTACATGTATTGGATATACTATGAGGGAATTGTATTTACCACAGAGTGTTAAATGTGAATAAGGAAAGCATGAAATACATGACAAAGCTATAAACAAATATTTAGAATAAAATTACATACGGTTATTGGTGAGAGCTGTAACCACACCAAGGCATTGGGACAGCCTGGACAGGCCGTTAGACAATCACTGGGATAACACGTAGACAAAGGCAACCATTCAAGCTCACTTTTTTTTCCCTCACATTATGAGAACATGCAAACTCACACATAAGGGCTGAAGCCTCCCAACAGGTTTGAACTCTTGCTGTGAGGGAACACCGTGCCTTCTGTAATTATTAGCGTATTATCATAATTAAAACTACCCAAGCTAATAACTGCTTCCATTAAGTGGTTCATTTTTTATTTAACATAAAAAAGTTGAAATAAGTAGACAGTGTTCATGGTCAGATTACCTTATTTTGGTGATGCGTTACCTCGTAAGAAACACCCCTAACTTTCCACCCTAAGTAGAATCTAAGCACACACCACATGATTTAACTATACCCTAACCAGTGATAACAGAACAAAAAAGCACTGATGAACTATTAGACCAACAGGGCATCAAATGAAAAATTGCAATGGCAAACATCCACACACAAATACAAATACACACATACACACAATATTTTTGGTCAGAAAAGATCTTTAGAGGTGCCTGTCAAAAAACGCTCGGCTAATCCAGATTTAATCTTCATTAAAACTCACTTTGCTGGTCTGAAGAATTTGGCCTAAAAAAGTGAGCTGAGATGAAAACACATACGTAGGGAGGATGGGTTGGGCTGTTTTTATGGCAGGAGAGAGTGGCATTCCTAACAGCCCTGTTTATTGTATTGCACTGCAGCAGTGTGCAGGTCAGATGACCGTACATTAGGGAATAGCAGTGGAGAAATCCATTGGGAGGATTTCTGCTTGAGCTAGAAGAGTCTTATCAGGGAAATATATGACCATGGAGCAGGAGTGTGTGGTGGGCGTGTGTGTTGAAATAATTAATCGTGAAAGAATAGATGGATTGCAGTGAAAAAGCATGTGTTGTAACTCTCATATCCTTTATTAAATTCTCCATCAAATGAATAATTATGTGAGCTCAGTGCGCACAGGCACATACACAGACACACACACACACACACACACACACACACACACACACACACACACACACACACACACACACACACACACACACACACACACACTTTTCAAACTGATAGATTTTTGGCACTGTGTCGACTCAACAGTGACATCAGTGTTTGGCCCCCTGACTGAGATTACATTTAATAGAGATTGAGATACTGTAATAACTTGGACTCCTCCTTATTAGAGATGCTCTGATCGCCAATTGTGGGGCCGATCGCCGGAATCAGTATCGGCCGATACCGATCGCCGATTCGATCGAGTAGGCGGGGCCTATGGGGATCTTCCATTTAAAGTGATGTTTAAAAGTCAGTTAATGGCGCTCATTCACTGGTGCTTCCACAAACAACAACCAACATAATTATTACATTCAAATGAAGTACATTATTCAAGTTTACATTAACTTTGGAAAAGGGCATGGCTTTCAAAAATACTTGGCAGGTGATTGGATTAATCTGTCTATCACCTTCTATCATGGGCCACTTCTGATTGGTTAACAATGGCTGGTACATGTGGAGCACAGCACTTCTGATTGGTGTGGATGACTGACACACAAGAAAAAAAAGCCCTAAGCTAACTGACACTGATCCAGTAATGAGTGACCCGACAGTAAAGAATAAATACATTTATAACTAGTTTAGCTTGTTCCAGAGGTAGATCAAATAGCTAAGTGTGTTAGGTCTAACTCTTCGTGTGTGTTTTGCTCCGCTCACCGGTCCGTCACAGCGGGTGGAGCTACAGGATTTCTGCTTCACACTCGTTGCATACCGCTATTTTATTGTCTTTTTCGGACACCTTAAAATACTGCCAGACCGGTGAAGCCATTTTGGCGAGCTTGTTTTGCCGTGCACAGAGAAAAGTGTCATGTATTTTACGTCATCATTTTACGTCATGTGATCGGCTCTCGCGATCGGGCATTTTTAGAGAGCACCGATCGATCGACAGAGTGAGTATCGGCCGATGTCGATCGGCGGACGATCCATCGGAGCATCCCTACTATGGGGGTTATTCCCTATCTTTATTCAAGAGCATGGTCTTTACATTTGAGAGCATACTTTATTGATTTCACGTTCAGATTATGTATTTATTTCCCTCAAACCCTGTCCTCACACTCAAATAGTGCCTGCTTGCACTTAGATTTGCTCTGCTTCTGCTCAAACTGTACGCTTGCACTCAGATATATTGCTGCTTACAGATTTCCTGTGTTCCAGCTTAAAACCTTCTCCTCGCACCAGTGGCGTAGCCACCATAGGGCCAGGGTGGGCCCAGGCCCACCCAGTTTACTCATTGGCCCACCCTGAGAAAGCTTCGGTGTCATTTACATTTTTTTTCACAAGTGAAGTACATGTGATAAAGCCATGGAGGGCGGTAGTTTATAAACCAAAGAGTAACCGTCCTTACGGGGCTCTAATAAGTAAAGCGAACACACCCGCAAGGACACCAGGCCTCCTATAGAGTGGCGAAGTCACGCCCACCTTATTTCGGAAAAATAATGTATTGAAGTCAATGGAGAGAGAAAACGTATCTTTCGATCCCGTTTGAATTGTGCCATGAATTACACATATGATTTTTGTCAATCTTAAAAAATAATTTCCATGTCAAAAAAGTCACAGTTTGTCGTAAAACTGTTGAAATATAAGACTATGAAAAATACGCAACTAGAAAGACTACAAATCCCAGAGTCGTGTAAGTGATGTCACAATTGTTTTCCTCCACTAAAAGATAGCTAAGATCAGCACCATACACTGTATAATCTATCTATATGGCGCTGGCTAAGATAAGATAACTTTAACAAGATGCCTGTGTGCTTAGTACCAGGTTGTTATCATACCAGCAATGGGTCTTGTTCGTTCTTTCGCTTCCCGTCTGATGAAAGGACCAGCAGTGGCGTTTTCTCCCGGAG